AAGCCCTAAACCCTAAACCGTGGTAATCTGGACTTGGGTCCTCTCGACGTTCGGACCTTGGGAGTTCAGAGATTCCAAAACCGCAAATGAGTACCTAATCATACTGTTTTTTTGGGGATTCCTTATATTATATGTATAGGATAATGGGCCCCAGTATCCTATTCTAATTACTAAGCTAAGGCAACTATACTGCCCTTAAAAATCATCGAGGGAATCCGATATGCTTTCAGGTGTAGTCTCTGGCAAAGGCCTTCTTCAATATGCGGGGTTTGAAGAATGAGAGATAGTATTCATTGTCATGTATGTTCCCAAGCACTGGGAAGCCGCCCCTGCAAGATCCTAGTCAGATGATTCAAGCCCCGAAATGTGGTTTGGGGTTTATTTGCAGTCCGAGTCGCTTGCTACAGAAGCCAAGGCGTGTGTGGGGTTTAAGGTGTAGGGGATGCTCTTTGCCTTGAATCTCAGGGGGCCCTAAACCCCCAAAGCCTAGCCGGAAAGTAAGATGGCCAGGCCATCAGTGGAGCTTTCGGCAAGTTCAAACTCCATTCCTCAGAGACTCCAAAACCGTTTCCTGAAGACATAGCGGTTCAATGCCTCAAACTAGAGAGGAAATCAGAATATGACTTGCGGCATATTTCTCGATTCAGGGGTTGACCCAGACTCTCGGCAGCGTCTTCACTTGCCTCATGTGACTCTTTCGGGAGAAGATGCTAAACCCTAAATCCCTAAACCCCGAATCCCAAGCTCTTGAGGCCCTACGCTCTGAACAGTAGACCGGAGCAGCCTTCTCGGAAAGAGTCTCGCTGAGAGAGTCGGTGTGAGCTGAGCCCAGGAGCCGGAGGAGGAGGACAGCAACGTCCAATGGCGGCTTCGCCGAAGCTTCGGGGTCTACGTGAGAAGGATCAAGGGACTTTAGTAACTAGGGTTTTGGTAATTCAGCTGTTGGTATAGCAAGATAGCACGAGGCCGGTCGCAGTTTAGGAGAGAGCTTCGATTTCCGTGAGCCTTCTTACGTCGTACGCTCACTCAAAAAGCATGTCTTGAGGCCGCACTTTGTATCCTAAAGCCTTCAATCCTCAATCCCAAGCCCCGTCCCCTGAATCCGAAGGGCCGAAACCCCTTTAGGCTTCAGACTTCGAAGCTGCCAGGTTGATCGGCGCCTTGGTCGCCGTCGTCGTGTGCGCCTGCCTTCTCTACTTCCTGTGTCTGGGGCTGCAAGGCTGTGGGCTTTGGAACTTCAGAGGAGGGCTCTCTGAAGAGGGTTCCTGCAGGTTTCGGAGCCCTTCCCGCACTACGGATCGTGCAAGGCTTCAAACCGGCTTTTTCAGTGGGTTGTCATTCAAGTGCAGAGACTCCACGGAACCTCGAACATACCTGACAACTTCCTTCTTCTGTTGAAGATGTCTTCACTAAGATTGCTTCATGATTTCGAGTCTCCAGCTTCAGTGCTCGGAAATCTGAGATTGCGTGCCGGGCCTCGCGTGCTAAGGTACTGGATCTGGAACAAGGATCGTGCCCTGACTGCAGGGTCCTAGGCTAGTTTTTCTTTTTTCTTCAGTGTTTCCCACTGGGGCAAAAACGAAAGGGTTCCTGTAAGGGTTCCCATATTGGCTACAACGCTTCCATAGACGGGCTTCAAGGTCGCATTCGTGTATGTCTTCTGGGAGGCATTTCTTAGTGCGACGTCATTCGCATCAGCCTTTGCGGGTTCGGGCTGGGGACTCGAAGCATCCTGAAGACTGGGGCGAATGGAGACATCAGCTTTCGGCCTCTTCTGGATTCTTCTTCCTCTTTTGATTGGTGAGAATGGGATGCTCACATTGTCCACAGCAACTGCAGCCTCCCAGTCCCCATGTTCATCCCACAATGTGTCGGAGCTAGAAGCCGAGCACCCAACCAAGGCGAGGAGGCTCCTTGAGAAGCACCTAAGGGGGGGGGGCTCAGGGTCAGGATTTGAGGGCAGAGGAGAATCACTGAATTCAGAGCTGTGTTCTGCCAGAGAGTTCGCTTTTCTTTGCATTGAACTTGTGGGCTTCGAGGCTTTTTGAAGCTTCCTCTGTGCACCCAAAACCGGGCTCCTCCAACATAGAATCTGAACCTCGGACTTGCAAAAAAGCTGTAAATCCCCTGCATTGCCCTGTCCTTAGCTGCATGTCCCGAAGAAGGAGCTGGGCAGCATTTGGTCGCATGAGCACACATCCTCGGCTTTTTCTTGCCCGCCTCTTTGCGTCTCGTCCGTGGACCCTAAACTGGCCCTAAACCAGACACACCCCGACCGAACTCCTGAGACGGAGAAGCGCTACGCAGAGCCGTCGCCTGCGGCCGAGCAGCCGAAGGATCGACGACTGATCCTTCAACGGGGTTTCGGATGGGTTTCGGGGTTTAGGAGCAGGCAGCCAGAGGATCTTATCCGGGGGCCCGTCGATTTCGGCTCGCGGGAACTGAGAGTTCTTATCTCTTCGAGTTCAACTCGTCAAGGGTCCCTTAAGGTAAGGGTTCCCTCGAAGGAACCCGTAGAGAGACCCTTAGACCTAGAGAGCCCGCATCTCCAAACCCTCAACCCTGACCCCTCTATCGAGCCCCCTTCTTTCAGGGTTGGCTTTTGCTATAGGGTCGCGAGGGCTGCAGGGTTGTGGCCCATGAAAGTAGTGATCCCACTCGGGGCCCTTCGAGACCCTGGCCCTCAAAAGAAAAGCCTGATACCGCTTATGGAAATAATCTGCATCACCTCAAGTACACCATTGAGCTCCGGGAATCCTGGTATCTTCAGTATTCAGGATAAGCCCAAACCACTAAATCGGCGAAAGTTCCGAGCCCAGAACCCTCGACCCCAGACCCCCTAAACTCCCCCACACCCGAAATCCCCTCAACCCCAAACCAGCCTGATGTGAGCCAGGACGTGAGTACCATGTCTGGCCTCTCGGATGGTGGAAGTTGAGCAAAAGAATCTTTCGGAAAAGAGCCCTCACTGTAATGCTGCCCCTCAACCCCAAGAAACCCTGTTCTATCACCACGGTGCTGTAGTTGCAAAAGAGCCTTGCCTTACGCCCGGAGCACAGATTACCCCAAGCCCCGGTGCTCCCCCCTGCCGGGCACAGTATCCGAGGCCTGGTTCCCGGCGCACAGGAAGCCCTGGGCTTTTCAGGGCTTCCGTCGGAAGGCTTCGGAGCTTCTTCGGGATTTCTTTATGGGATTTTTTGCGGTGGTAGACAAGGGGCCGGAAGGAAGTGTAATGATCAGCAATGCAAGTCCGGGCCCAAGTCCGATCTACAGTATGCTTGGGTTTCTCACCTCTGTTGGTCTGCTAGCTTGGCTCTGGTAGTCGGGAGTCCCGCCCGACACGGGTCTTCTGTCACGAATGTCATTTGCGTTAGTTTCAGTTGTCGTGCACGAAGGCTGAGAAGCCTGCCTTGAGGGTTTCGGCAAGTCCTGGAACCCCTCCGTCGGCGCGGGCCAGCATACCGACGCCTTTTTGTCTAAGCCCTACACCCCTCGGCCGGGATTTTCGGCTGCTGAAAGGAGGAGAAGCCAGCTGTCGGCGAAGTTCTTGTGGAGATGTCGGAACTGCAAGAGGCCTTGGATTAGGGATTTCACGGGTTTTTGATGGGGGGCTCTTCTCCCTGCCCTGGATTGGACGACAGCCCTCTGCCACCAATGAGAAGCGGCTCGGACGCAAGAAATATTGTCTCCAACTTCACTGTCACTGCGCTGTCCCGCCCAAACCCTGCTCTTGTGATCCCTGAATCTCCGCCCTGAGCTTTTTGGGCAGGCCCTGGATGAAGTTGGCATCTGCTTCGCCTCTCGCCTTCCTACAAGAGCATGGTCGGTGTTTCAGTGTTCATGCTCGATTGAGTCCACAGTGCTGCAGCGCTGTCAGCCTGAGGATTCTGACGAAGACGACGGAGGCATGGGGTCTTGGGAACCCGGATACTTCATGAATCCGACCAGCGACCACCCCCCCAACACGAAGCTCACACCGAGCGTGGTGGCAGTGTTTCAATGAGTTTCGGCGGCGCTCCGGCATCCCCCGGTTCCCTCTAGTTCGAGTAAAGGAGCTTGAATCCTTCAAAGCTTCGGCATTGCATGTCCGTGCAAGGGTGCCCCTGCGTCTCTTCAAAGGATCGGGTCTTAGGGTTCAGGAGCCTATGCCAAAGAATGCTAGGTTTTCGGCTGGTGTTACCACAGCATGTGGGTAGTTCTACCGACAAGAGCGGGTATGGAGCAGGGCTTCTGGCCGAAATCCTCAGAAAAACGGCGGAAAGCCCTAGCTTGAAGCTTCATGGATAGCTGGAACTTCTAGTTACAAGGGCTTTGGCTTACACGCTCTCGCCGCCGGCTCTTGACTTCGGCTTGTGAGGAGTAGAAGTTAAAAGCTTTAGTTACAAGTACCCCGCTTGGGCTTATTGGTTTGTCGTTGTGATGCAAAATTCTCTGGTGTGCCCGCTGATCCTTTTTGCTCCCGACCGGAAGTGGCACCCAGACGTCCGAACGCAACCTGCGAAACCAAGCAAACTGGTTCACCGCGGGTATCTGCCAGGTGCAGCAGACGGCGGCATCACGCATGAGATGAAGAGGATGATGCAGGAAGCCGGTGTGAATTTCGGCGAGGACTGCGTCTGAACCTTACATAGCTCCTGCACGCTGATCCCAAGTCCCTCAAACCGGATTTGTTGGCTTGAATGCATGGCCTGTTCAGTCTACTGGATTGGGGAGTGGTGCCGTGAGCTCGGGTGGAATATGTTTCGAGTTCACCGCAAAAAGAAGACGTGTTTTCGTTTATGCCTCTGCACCCATGACTATGCCTTTCAGGGTCTCGTATCCTTGCCTTCTCGGATTCCAGCAGGTTCAATTCGCAAACCTCAAATCCCAAAGCCCGAACCCATAAACCCTAAGGGCAAAGACACGTAGCTCGCCACATGTCAAAGAACACGAAAGCTTTGCCTGGAAGGAGGACTCCAACGATGGAGCGAACCTTCAGGCCTGAACCAATAGACCCTAAACCCTACACCCAAAACCCCTAAACCCTAAACCCCTAAAAGCGACCCTAAGCCGGAAAGCCTGGACCTCAATCCCAAAGCCCGCAACCCTAATCGCCTGCAAACCCAGAAAGCTCTGCCTTTGAAGAACTCGAGCGCTAGACCCCCAACTTTCCAAAAGGACATGCTTTGAGAATGGGTTCCAGAGAGAGAGAGAGAGAGAGAGAGACACGTATGTATGTATGTATGGATGGATGGATGGATAGAAAGATAGATAGTCCGAAACTCTCATGCTTCGGGGAGTTACATAGTAGAACTCAGGCTTTTGGGTTCCAGGTTTCCTGCGGCTTGGGGGTTTAGTGGTTCAGGGCTTGTGACTTTTTTGTTGGGATTTGCTGGATGACTTGCAGAGGCTTGGCTGCGAAGTCCTTTTCTGATTCAGGTGGAAGCGCTGCCCAGCAACGAAGAAGGCACGGGGGAATTGTGAGGTCTTTGTGTTTGCTGATCCGCCTGGCCACCTGAGATTAGGTTCCTCTTACTCTAAGCCACCATCATCGGGATTTGCAGTGGGTTAGGTTTGGGGTCTTACTGTGACAGGTGCGTTTGCTGCAAAGTCGACAGCCACCGAACAACCTTCAATCATGAGCCCAAGACAACCTTGTCAGAACCGCCAATTATTCAACACACCAAGTCGCGCTTCGCTGGTCTTGTTTTGGCCAGGCTTGGCAGACATGCTCGCACTGGCGGGTGTTGTGTTCGAGGAGGAGGAGAGGGTTTCAAACCACAGGGCAACAGCTCTGTCTTAAGAAAGCTGAGGGCGAAGGCTTCCGTTCCAGGTGTTCGGGGTTTTGGCACGCCTCAGGTGGTTTTGAGGGTTGCTTGGCATCTGGTAGCAGAGACTTTCCGGACGATCAAACATCTGGTGAACTCGTGTCAAAGACGTCTGCAGCTTTTTTTTCTCACCATCAACGCGGCTTGCAAGAGCCCGCCGCACCAGGGGATCTTGTCCAGGACAACGGACTTGAAGAACATCCAGATGTGGCTGCGAGCCCAGTTGTCCTTGCATCCTGGCACACTCTCTTTCTGTGTCTCTGTCTCTGTCTCTGCTCCTCTCTGCTTCTCTCTCTCGCTCTCTCTC